AAATTTTATTAGAAGAGAATAAATCTGATAAAATCGTGAAACGTGTAATGCATTTTCTTTTTGAAAAAATTGTTGTTAACAATATCGACATTTATGTAAATTTTAGGAGTAGGAAAGATACTTCCCAAGGAACCACTCACCATCATACAGGAAATTAAATTTAATGGTGATTATTTGCCAAGAAAAGACGAGAAGCATGTTGCGATGCACAAGAGACATCACATTCTGCACACATGTAGCGATTCCTCTTTTCTTGTTTTTTTTCTGCTACATATCCTTAATCATCTACAGTTGGAAACCATCTTTCGCATATGATTGCCCACATTGTCTAAGCGCACATCATTCACTTTTTTGCTCGGAAGTTAACAAGACGGCCTTTCCTTTTCCTTGAGAATATCCGTCTTTTAGCTGACGACCTAGTACTGTACAGAATGTTAGTTGGTTTAAACTTCTGCTTCTTTCGTTCACCTGCCACAAAATGAAACTATTTATGATGGCAAGCTTAGTAAGAAAACAAAAGACACGATACCATCATTTTTCAAATCTTCTTTATTGGTATCTTCTTTTCTTTGATTGAAGCGATCCACCCTTTCCATGACATCGTTATATACAGCTACAGCTTTTGGAGAAGGTACTTTTTCATCTTTTGGAGAAGGTATCCTTTTGTCCGATTTACAGATGTCATAATCGCTGAATTACGTGGAATAGTACAAATTTTGTAGCGGGAATCAGTCTTCCCATCGTTTTAATAGCAAAGCCAATATATTATAATGGGTTTTGTGCTTCCCACAGGTGTATTTTGAAAGATTATGTATATGGGAAGTAATATATCTCTCTTCCCAAGTCCTACGAAAGGGTTAAGGTGTAATAGCTCTTCACTACTTCGAAGTTAAGTCTTTTAAGGAATTTCTATCGCAACTCACTTTTTATTGGAGATCTGACATGAATGTTTTCGGTCACGTAGCTCCCAAACATGAGCAAGGCCACCAAGGAATCAAATTACTTGGGAAATAGATTGTTGTCTTACGTAAACAAAACAAACATTGTTTTCATAAATCTTGTGACATTTTATATTTGTTTTTTTTCTACGTTGCATGAGAAATAATACTACAAATGAGGACGACGAACATCATAGTTTAGAGATCTGATTAACCCGGGAGCAGGCGAGCACTCGATACTAACGTTAATGGTCACACAGGGTAATTGAGTCACCGCAATATTTTTTTAGAAATATTTTTAATTGTACAGATAAAAATTGTAATTACAGTGATTAATTTAATTAAGAGAAAGTATTCCTACCTGCTTGTAAGGAATTTTCAGTTTTTCTTTGAAAATTAAAAAAAAAATCCAATAAAACAGCACTTAAATGTTTCGAATGTGCGTGACCTTAATAAAGGGCACAAATCACTTACACTTTTAGTTAACATTAGAGGAATAATATTTTAGTTTCAAGTTATTGTAGTTTCAGTGTCATATTGTAGTCATTCTTTAAAAGAAATATGCAATTTTATACAAATGTAAAACGTTCTATGTATACATAATTTCTCCCTTTTTAAATTCTGTATTAAAGTGAAACTAAAATGTAAAAGTACTAAGTTTTCTGTAAAATACAACTTAAATAAAGGAATCCAAACCTAGAAGAGTAGCTTAAAAATTCATAAAATCTAAATTAGCTTTTCCCTTACAAGTTTGTTAGTAGTTTCATTGAAAAAAAATCAAAAATATTGATAGTGTAAACTATACTGAAACAAGGACCAAACATTATTTAATATTATTCATTATCACTGGAATTCATTATCATTATTGTTTCATTGTTGGCGGAAAATTTGTTTAATTTTGACAAGAATAAAATTGTTGCTTAATTTTTGTTAGCCGATGAATACAATTATCATATTTAATAAAATAAATTTGCAATTATTTAAGCCAATAGTTCATTAATTTGTGTATTTCGTACTTCCCTCAGTATAATAATTCTTTGCATTTTGTGTTCGTGGAATGAAAAGAGAATATATTTTGTCTTCTTCTAATTTTGTTTAGATGAGATTGCGTTGTAATGAATATCATATAACAGTTTTTAATGAACACATACTAAAAAAATTAGAAAAAAGATCAGTCTCGACATGTTTAAATTTACATCGTGTAATTTAAGAGATGAGTATAAGCCACAAAAATAAAGTTATACCAATTTTGATTGCTTTTGTTATTCCAGCGCAAGTGAGTGAGTTAGTGAATGAGTTTGGTGTTTTATGGCGCAAGAGCCAGTTATGGCTATACTGCGCCAAACATTCATAGGTCTGTGGTCTGGATGGGAAAAGAAGAAAAGGAGAAATTGGATGACAAGATGGAGGGTCGAAAATAGAGAAGGATCACTGGGGTACCCCGGGTTCGTGAAACCCGTGTTTACCAAAGATAGTAAACCCCTATTCCAGTGCAAGAGTCGTCCATCCGGTATAGTGGTTAGCGACGTTGACTGCTGTGCTGTAGGACCTGGATCCAAATCCTGGAGGAGGCATGGAATGTTTGTAAATGTATAGTGCCTTTGCACCATGAGGCTACTCTAAAGAGCCGTTGTACCGCAAGTCCTCTCGTGAGGTTGGTGGAAGGGAAAGAGAGGTTTGAGGCACTTGACCCCCTCGGATATCAAAATTGGGGTGAAACCGAGCTTAAAAAATTGTACTGTCACCTGCATGATGCTCAAGCCTACGGCTAACGACAGGCGTATACCTAACCCCTTTCCATGATGAGTTTCATGGGCCTGGATCTGATACAGTCGAGGTCAGGTGGCATAAGAAACATGAACAATTCATGCGCAAGAGGAATTTATTTGTTATTAACGTCGCATCTCGGAATAACGCAATGGGTTTTGGCAATAAATCTCCTGATTTTGAAAGATGTCCAAGTGCACCCCACTCCAAACCTCTCTCACCATAAACATGTGGATTTTGAATCTTAACATATTGTTACGTAGATCGGGGCTTGAAGAAAAAACTGTTATCAGTCGCAAAGAGCAAGACAGTTCTTTAGGAATGATAGAAACTTATTGTAGAAAAACCATTCTTGAAATACAGGTTACAGTAGCAAATTTTGCAGAATAAATCTCAGAAGGTTTTAACCCCTTCAACAGTGCTCAGACACAAATATCAGCGTCCAAAATATGTTAAATATTATTCACAAGCACTCGCGCTCGCCCTATTCAACTACCGAAGTAATCACTAATCGCTTGTCGACTCTTCAACGGTCAAGTAACTAGTTTCGGTGAGCGACTCCCTATTTATAGTCAACTCGGGTTTTCTTCGATAAATCCGCTCTTACATTATACATCGTGATATTAGAAGATTTCTCCAGTAATTTCGAGAAGGATCCATATTGTCGCCAAAAATAATGCCAACTTGGCGCTATCGCCAAGGTTTCGCCAAGTTTCCATCGAATCACCATTACAATGTAAGGAACGACATTGCTTGCACAAATATTACAAATTTTACATAAAATAAATGCAACAGAAAGTAATATTAACGTATAACACATAAATTATTTACTCTATTTTAAGCATTCATTACACAAAATTAGAAATAATATTTAACGAGCATCAAAGCATCAGCTAAGGACGTCAAGTCCTTAGAAGCGGGAGTTGGTGAGGGCTTTTGGCGACAGACCTCGTAGAGCCATGTTCAAGTAATGCGGTTGACGCCTGAGTGGGTCTTTAGTGGCATCTGGGTTCGAACCATTCTGCAACAGAGGCAGAATCGATCACAAGTTCGTGATTATGAACACTCGTTTATCGTGTTCAAATGCAAAAAGTTCGAAACTGAATGCATATCTATTCTAGATTACTTAGTGGCAGCGTTAGCCTAGTTGTTATAGCAACAAATTCGAGACCTAATACCACTGAAGACCCGACTATAGAAGGGCTGATGGATGCTAAATCTTTCATGATTCAAAGTGCTCAAATTTGTATGGTGAGGTAGTTTGAAGTGGGGAACTACTGCTCAGCTGTCGTCCTCGTTATTTGATCGTGTTTTAAAATTACGAGGTCCTTCGCCAATAACCCTCATGTTGTTTTAAAGCGCGACGTTTATAAACATTAACTTTTAGATTATGCTATACTGTATTATTTCTTGAACTTTCAATGTTGATCTCCAGTTGCAAGTGTGTCTAAACTATTTACATTCAATGTAAAAATAATAAAAGTGCATCTTGTAATTTCTCCTTCTACTATAGGGGAATTAACTTCAACGCATTTTAATCTAAACTCATTTTGGAATTAAATATCCCAATAATTATAGTTCTTTGGGGGTTTTTTTGGTTGTGAATAAATGCTCTAAATGCTTAAAACTACTTTTATGGGAATAGTTAAATGTCTCAATGCTTGTGTTTACGAGGAATTATGTATTTTATTTTCAATTGCGTTAAAAAAGGCTCTAAATAGTTAATGTAGCTTAACTGGAATTATTTATTAGCATTAAAAACCGCATCGATTATGTTTGTGAACAGTTAAATTGGGAAACTATTTGTAATATTTATATTTTTTAACGCACATATTGAATAATTAATACCGAAGTATTAGTTTGTATGGTATTAACTGTGTGTGTGTGTTATGGTATTAACTGTTAATGTTCGCTGATACGAAAGTTTCAACGGATGCAATTTCCACAAAAATTTCAGGTAAGTATGTATTTATTAAAATTTTTAATTTAAAACAGGTGCTTCTCCGAAACTAAGCTTTCTTATTTTCGTTTTAAATACTACGTTTGTTTCAATTCTTACTTTACTTCACAATTTTTCTCTCCGTATATTTATATCTTGTTTAAATTTTCAATCGTTAATAAAATACTTTCTATTTATCCATTTAAGTTCAAATACATTTTTTTTTAAACGTAGTCGGTGACACTTGATGTTAGCACAGTTTTTCAAGTATTAATTCATTTGTTAAAAATTAATGAATAAATAGTAACAAAAATAATAGTCCAACACCCGATATAAAAAGGAAAATCGCTCATTGTGTCCCTGTAGCGCAATGTATTGCGCGTTGGGCTTCTAATCCAAACGTAGTAGGTTCGAATCCTACTTGAGATGGCCTAATTTCTGTGAATGTTATTTCTTTTTACTACACTATATTTTATTGGAATAATTAAATTTAATTAATGAATAAATAGTAACAAACAAACAAATAATACTACAACACTAATATAGAAAAGAAAGTGGAAAACTGCGAGGAAAATCGCTTTCTATTTTGTCACTTAATAGTGTGATTCTGTCATATGTATTTCCATATTTATATTAATTGTAGATATTCAATAAAAAGTAAATAAAATAAATTTTTTCTTTGTTGACCTAAATACGAATTGACTTAATATTTTTTTTAATATTACTTGCTTTTTTACCAGATTTTCTCTTCTCAATTAAAAATTTAAAAATATTGTGATTTTAACTTCAAATAGGACTCGTCCGCTCAAGAACAATCTTAATACTTTTAACTCTCAAAACCGTAAAGTACTTGACATCCTATATTTATGTAAATTAAAAAAAACCTCCTAAGATAAAAAAAAGTACAGTAAAATCCTTGTTCTCCTAAAATCCAAATAATACAAAGAAAAAAAAATCATTCAAATAATTCTTTTTATGTACATAAAAGGAATTTTTTCGGAAACATGGGACACATAAGATGCCAGATGAGAAATTCCCCCATTTTTGTTTCTTGAAAGACAATTATTGATGCTGTAACATGCTTCTTGTATACTTTGATATCGGAGATTTTCTAAAAAAGTGAAAAGAATCTTGGCAGGAAAGATAGCATTTCTTTTCTAAGCTCTTCGAAAAGAACTTTTCTCGACACAGAGAAAAAAAATCGTCCGATGGTCGTCAGTTTAGATAAAGCGGAACCTTTTCCTCTTTTACATGGAAAACAGGATTTAGCCAGAACGTCTTTCAACAAATGGATCCTCGGTTTACACTCCTAAAGGATATGACCAGCACTATCTTACTCTAACAATTGTCAGGGGATAGCGTGAATGCCTTTGGGATGAAGTTCTCTTTGAAAAATACATACAAAATCTTTGGGAAGGAAGCTTAAGAGTACTTTTCACGTAGGCATTGAATTATTTATCGAGTGTATTGAATTGAATAATTTCTACTGAATGAATCCATTTTATTATATATGCTTTAACTAATAATGATTTTTGATCCTAAATAGAAAAAAATACATTGCAAAAAAAGATCACAATTAAACAAACATGCACTATACACTTTTCAAATGACTAATTTGGCTGTTCAAATGACCACGGTAGCTTAGTGGTCATTGTCCCGAGATGCGTTCGGCCGCGGTAGCCGAGTGGTATAGGTATCGGATCGTGGCTTGCCTTGTCACGAGTTCGAGCCCAGTACCACTAAAGACCCGCCGTGTAGGGCAGCGATGCACGTTAAATCTGTCGAGAGCTGAAACGTCCTCCCGTTGGTGTGGTGTGGTAGTTAGGAGAGGGGGGTGCCAGCTCAGAGGTGTCGTCCACGTCACTTGACCATGGTTCAAAATTACGTGGTCCGTCGCCAAAAGCCCTCGTGTAGCTGAACAGTGCGACGTTAATATTTAATCAATCAATCAATCAAACCCGAGATGTGTTCGAGTCCTAGAAGACCCGTTCTATAGAGGGGCTAATTTTTGTTGCTCAACTGTCCGTAAAGTTTGTCGTGGCCCAGTCCTCCTATTGGGCGAGGTTTGGAGAAGGGGTTGCCAGCTCAGGTGCGAAAATAAAACGGCTCTGTGTTTTTAAATAACTCTACACATTTTAAAGCATCTTTTCTCTCCCAATCTATATATTACTAATTATAAAATAGCAAATTTATTCTTAGTAAATAAATATGGGGTGATTCGCTACAAGACCGACAAACTTGCAGGGTGTATACGGGGTACAGAGACGATTCAGAATCACAAAAGAATCCAAGATCGCAAATGCCATAATTTCGCGAGCTTGGGTGCAGAGAAGAACAGAACCTACAACACATTAAAGAAACAAAAAACATTTTATTGAAAGGTTGCACCGCAACTGCTGCTCAAGATTAAGACTAGAAGTCGCCTTGTGGGAATGACAACGGTGCTGCATGAAGTTCTGGAATATTTCTCCATACAGTCTTGCGGCAGGTGGCGCTGAACGGAAGTTCATGAGGACTCCTCATGTTGAAAGTCGTCGTTTTCGATCCATTTCCTGAGGTAGCTGAATGAACTCGTATTCAAACGAAGAACCTGTTGACGTGTTGATCGAGTATGGAGCTGTGGATTACAAGTTGCACGCCGCTCGGCTGTTGTACCAGGGATGTTACTGAAAAAGTGTTCCACATCACACTACCTTTGCAAATGTAAGCGGAAGGTGACGTGTGCTTGGTTTTATGAAGAGTTTAGAGAGCTCTAGGAAACATCGCTTTCAGGCTTGCCAGACGACTTCTGATTGTAATTTCGAGTGCCTGTTGTAGTACAAGCTTTTTTCAATGAAACGTTTTCTGCCCTATCAATATGTTACTGTTCTTTTTTCTTTGCTTCTTTCCAACATAGCTCGCAACTGCGGCATTTGCGACCCAGCATTCCTATGTGATCTGGAATTGCTTCTGTACCCTGAACACACCATATAAGTTTGCCGCTCTAATAGCGAATCACCTTGTATATGTGTCAAGTTATAATTACTAGAAAAATTCCCAAAACATTTCTATTCTAAGCAAATGAGTGTTCATTAACGTCGCCCTCTGAAGCAATACAAGTTTCAATCCATCTGCACGGACAATACAACACTCCCGTAACACCCGCACTGTGGAAGGGGGCAGGATTCTATGGAGCCCAAAGCCTGACTGACACGAAGTACGTATTTGGGCTTGGGACCCAAAATCTGACTATGCAGGGGGGCCCTAATATTCTCCGTTACGCCACTGAGGGTCTTCAGTGGCAATAGGGTTCGAACACATGGCCCGTCTGCCGGTAACGAGCTCGTGCCTGTGACCACTAGGTTATCGGGGCCATAATTTCTGACGTAAATATGAAATAAAAATTCAACTGGCGTTTATAAAATGCCTTATAAAAAGAAAATAAAACGAAAGATGCAGTAAATATTGTTATAATAAATTTGGCTATGATGTTCTAGGTAAAAAAAACATAGTTATATCTAGTACAGGGGTAGGTAACCTTTTAGCTGTGGCGTGCCAAGCGAATATACCAATATGATTAAGAGTGCCACACAGAAGAACATTTTTGAAACATTTCGATTCCAGTGATGATGCATGCAGAGTTAAGAGAATGGAGAGATAATACTTTAGAACATAATAACACTACAAACAGCATAAAATATAACTGTAATTAATCAACAAAAATATAAAAATTTTAATTGAATGTATATTGTGTATTTTTAAACATATTTATTAAAATAAATAGACAACATAAAATATAAACATTTTTCTTCAATATAATTAAATAAAAAGATAAAGAAAAATTTTAATACAAACCTAGTGCTGGCATCACTCTACTCTTATATCGTAAAATAAGGGGTATAATTTGTGACTTTCAATTTGACGCTATTTTGAATATTTATTTGTTAAAAATTTAGTGTGTGGACTCGAAATATTTTTCATATGAGGAAAGAATTTTTACTGGTATACTGGTTCTCTCTTCAAATGATTAAATCTCTCCAGCAATGACATTCAAGAATTTATCAAATAGATGTAAATTTAAATTTATCATTTAGATTTTTTTCGTAATTCCATAAATGCCCATACTTCTGAGATAGATGTCCATTGATGTTTTTCAAATAAGATCTATTTCAAATTTATTAGCTTCCGTCCACTCAAAAATTCACAAATTTTTAGAGCAGTAGAGAGTACCATTGAGAATTGTACCATGTGCCATAGTTTGGCGACCCATGTTCAAGCGTATAAAAATAAATTTCTCCTTTTACTTTTATTTATTTAATTTGAAAATTAAAACTTTGATTAACTTTTTCTATTCTAATATATTTCAAAAGTTTTCGAATAATCATAAGTATAAAAATATAAAATGTAAAAAAAAATACACAAAAAGGATTTTTTGTATAAAAAATGGATTTAGCACACAATGTTATTCAATAACATCTGAAACCAAATATCAGTTATTAGGAAAACATTTAGTAAATTAAATTATTCAAAAATATTTTTTCGAAATCAGCATTGAAAAACATTAATTATAAATGAAATATGAACCAACAGTTTTTTACTGAGAATGAAATTTTTTGATATTTATCTTTTACCCATTTTATATTTTTGAAAATACAATTCTATCTCTTTGCTGTTGTAAATCTGCCGCTGTTGCATGCAGGAAAAAGGAATTATTAGTTTTCAAACCTACGCGATTTCAAATGTCAAAACACTTATCAAAAATATCAGTGTGGTCCAACGGGTGTTATTCTCTTAGGTATTGAAATCCAAGTGTATTTTTTCAGCATTATTAAAGAATTCCTTCAGAAATATTTAGAAAGGAGAAGAATTACTGAAAACGGAACACTGAAACGGCAAGAAAAGCGAAATCATTTCCAAGACCACCGAATAATAAATTGAGTTCTTTAACTTGTAAAGAAATACTGTATTGTACAAAGCAAAAGATTCTTGCCTCGTAATGTTTGCATTAATTTGTTGTACAAATGGTATGAAATTTCTCTCGTATCGAAATTTATACTGATTTCGAATGTTTTGGTCTTGGTAAATTATCCTTTTACATAATTGAAATCTTGACTTATCAGAATTTAAATGTCAACTTAACTTAATATTTTAAAGAAGAAGAATTGGATTTTCAATTCAAAATTTTATTCTGAAAAGTTTATTTTCATAAGCATCCTGTTTATGTTTAGCTTATAATTAAAAATAAATCACTAAATTTATTAAAAATTTAAAAAAACCCAAAGAAATTTAATATCTGTCAATTTTTAGTATTTTAAATTTAACAAGCAAGTAAATTTTTAAAGTACTAATAAGTGGGACTTTTAGCTCTGTAGATTATTAAAAAAATATCATTATTCATTAAAATTACAATATACATCAAAACCACATATTTGAAATCAGTTAGTGAAAGT